TAGGCAACTTTAATGCTTAAAGATGATGCTGAAATCAGTTTATTGGCTAAGGGGGGAAAAGGGTTAATGGCTGCAACAATACAAATAATGACAGATTGTAATGACCATTACATACATGACAATTACAAAGATAAGGCTTATTCTTAATATTCAGTATAATGAACTTTTTTTACACTGATTGTCTCTCTCAGGAAAGCCAACTCCTGCGATAACTGAAGAATCGGTTTACTCTGAAGTCAAACCAGGTACAGCTCATGGTTTTAATGCAACCTTACATCATGAGGATTTATTTTATGTATATGTCAACTGATTTAAAAACAGGCAAAAAGGTCTGGTAAAGATGCAATATTCTTAAAAAATTACTAATCTTTCTTTTCCTTTGCTTCTCTTCCAGATCAATAAAGTTCTGTATCTATAGACATAAGGAATGGATGGCAGCGTGAAAAAAACAATCTTGGCTTGATTAGCATTTGCAGCTGTGATGTGATAATTTTGTGCTCGTGCTTGTAAATTATTAAAAGTATTCGGTGCAGTAAGTAGCATAGAAAATAAATTAATTGTGTATTTATTTTGTATTCCTGAAAGTTTGGTTGAACATTTCATGCATCGATTAACTTCTTTCACTAGTAAGTTGTGAGCAGCGTTACCCGCCTTTATTGGGACAGGGCGGATCATTTCTTTGGTCATTTTCTAATGTTTGTGATGCAATGACAAAGTAGAAAAGGAAGATATAAGACCTGAGGTGTCTCATGTATCTGTCACATTAGAAAAGAACTGATTCATCAGATTCAAGTTTAAATGTGACATATGTCTCTTCAACAAAGTTATAGTTGTACACAAAGTGTTTGTAAAGTTGAATTGTTACGTTCCACATGTTTTTGTTTGTTAGACTAAGTTACATTTCATTTGAACTACTTGTAGCGTGCTGTATCAAGAGCAGAAGATTTTATCCACGAGGAATAGTATTTAAAAATGAGAACATAACCAGAGTATAAAAATCTCTACTCTGTTTAGCGTTAAGCTAACCACTTAGCATATGCTGTTATAGCCTGTTTTCTGTTTTTTATTTTTTTTAGATTTTGAATAAGTTCATTTCATTTTCTGTTCTTTACTTAGTGCTACTATAGTTTGTTGTATTCAAACAAAAGCCTTTCATACAATATTTGAGTTTCAATGGTTATTGGTGAACATGTCTGTACAGATTTCTGCCATTTCAATAAAATTGGATTTTTAAGATATCCTGACAGCTTCTGTGTTGAACTTATTAGCAGCACCGGTGCCAGACTGTGACCAAAGATAGGCACCCAATGGATAAAGATGTAAACTCAGAGGGAGCGTTCAAAAAGGAAAGGCGTTTAATGCGGTCCAAGGTTTGGTACACAGAAATTCAAACAAATCCAGAGGAGAAGGGAAAAAACAGCTGCTTGGGGCCCCAGACCAGTAGGGGGCCCCTGAGGGCTCACAAACTTAAACCAAAACAGTGGCCAAGAATATGCACATTTTGCAATAGGCAGTAGGACAGACTCTAGAATGGCCCTAGCTGTTCATGAGTTATGCTGAAGGAAGTGTGTGGTATTGAAAATCATGTGAAACCTTTTTATGTCGTTTCATCTCTTTTCAACAGATGATCCCAGACCTGTTGTCAAGGTGTCCACTTCATGGCCGAGTCCTGGAGCCAATGTTACTCTGAAGTGCCGTTTTAGCAAAATTATGGATTGTGGACGTTCAACTGGTATAAGGCTGTTCCCAGATCATCCAACAACTCCTACAGTCATGAGAAACTGTCTCACAGCTGCAGTGGACAAGGTCAATGTTCCTACATTGGTCATGGACAGACACACACAACAGCATATGTGTGCAAAGCTAACAGGGAAATGATAATCACACCAGCAGACCCACGTTTGTCTGGTCTAGAGGTCTGTATGTTTTACTTTTAGCACCACCAAGTGTTTACTTCTGTTTATTCTTTACTGTACTGTGATATGACATGACAAGCATTTGAACGTCTGCAGACACAGACACATGCACGACAGGCTGAGTGTTTGTGTACAAACAAAAAAGCCAAGAAAGCACACAAGCTAGGGCCAATATTAAAGTCATTCTTACATACAAATCAATATCAAGATATTTTCAGTATCAAATAATGTCTGTTTAGAACAGAAAGGTGGATGGTGCTGAATTCACAAATAGGGCGTTAACACTTGCAGAAAACTCCTGAAAAACTCCTGACATTTCCAGGAGGAGCTGCATGTGTGAACGCAAACAGCCACATTTTTCACTCTGATCTCACACAGAGTTTCTCCGGCCAGCCCTCCTAGTATTTTTTTCTGCAGCAAGTCCAGGTGGGCTGATGTGAGAACGCAGCAGGATATTCTCCGGAGAATTCACCTCGAGCCAATAGGAGGGGCGGAGTAGGTTTCTATACTGTGACGTCGTATAACGGACTCTGTTGCTCCGACCGCTACTTCCACGTCCCGCCCGCCCTCCTGTCTGACAGGGAAAGTCTCCCGCTGTGAGGTGTACATGTGAACAGCCAGGTCAGGAGAATATCCGGAGCAGTCCTCTGGATATTTTCAGGAGTGTATTTGTGAGAACGGCTAAAGAGAGCCAATAAGATGGAGTCGGTATTTAAAGACTGTCAAAACTTGCCGTTCACCGTACCTTCCTCATTAAACTACAAACTCTGTGCTGGATTTGACCTTCACTTTTTCTTATCTTTTCAGAAATTCATCCAAATTCAATCAAAGTGAGTCCTCCTGACAGAGGCCAGCACGTTTCCTCAGAGAATGTCTCACTGAGCTGCGAGGGAAACTCTTCTAAATGGAGGGTGATGAGATTAACTGAAAAAGGCCATCGGTCAACCTGCTCTGAATGGGGGACAATGAAAAATTCGACGTGTGACATCACAAACCCTCCAAAAAAAACAGCCGTGTACTGGTGTGAGACTGCATCAGGCCAATTCAGCAATGCAGTCAACATAACTTTTCAAAGTAATGTTTTGTTTTTTATCTTAATGTAATTTGCGAAACGATTGTTTTTTAAAGTCTCTTATACAGATTGTGTTTCTAATTTATATTAGACAGATAGAGTAATGTTACATGACGCCTTCAAGGAGTCATATGTAAGATATTTACTGAATGAAATGATGCATGTTTCTAATAAGCTCCACGAGCAGAAACGTGCTCAAACTAGGATCAATATAGGAGATGCTTTTAGAAAAATGGAGAGAGGTTAGAACGCAGAAAGGTTTACAGACCGATGCAGAGCTGGATAAACACTGAAGCTTCAGTGTTTGTGTTATTCTAACTCGGCTTGCGTATCAACTCTAGGGAGGAGGTGGCTGAATTTGGACTGCAGTACCCATTTTTAACACTAGAGACATATTGCTCCCTTAAATAAGACCTTTAAAAGGAAACCTACATAAATTGGTTAAATAAGTTCACAGATAAAGATTTAATTGTATCTTGTACATAATAGTACCTGTCAGTTACACATGTGGAAGCAATCTATAAAATGTCCTGACAAATAACCATTTTGTTCTTTTATTTTGGCAGTGTCCAGCTCTGAAGGTTCCTCCTTTCCTCTGCCATTGGTCCTTGGACTGTTTTTTCCCCTTTTAACCCTGATGCTCCTGCTGCTGCTGTGTTGCTACAGAAAGTCAACGAGTGAGTCCTGATCATTTTCAAAGACATACAAAACTTAGAGAAAATGATCAATTCAGAAATATTAAACAATTTAACAAGAAATGCCTTTTTTCTTTCAGATACATTCGTCACCAGGTCGGTAAAACGCTTCTCCCTCTAGAACCTAAAAGTGCAGATGTTTCTTCTCATGTCTGTTTGACGTTTTGACAGGATCTTTAACCTTTGTGTTCTCAGGATTTTTAGACCCTCAAAGTCTCAGAAAACCAATCAGAGCCCAGCTGCAGATGACGTGGTCAACCAGAACCAGACTCAAGGTAGAGGGTCTCTCAATGGTCAATATCACAAAAATACATCTTCAAGACCTCATCATTTCTTAGAAACACTTGAGGCTGATTAATTATTCATTAACATAGGAACTAAAAACTACTAATCAGTCTGTCAAAAATGTTTTTTGAGTAAACATGAGGCTAATAATACAGTAAGAATGAAGCAGATGTGTAAATATCTTTAAAGTAATGGGATAGTTTTATCATTAATTCAGTCAAAAGACCCCAGCACAGTTAAAATTGCTCTGTTAAACTTTTAATATAGACATACTGTAACCTTGATTTAAGATGGTGAGTCATCTTCTCGTGTTTATTCCAGATGCAGATGAATCCAACGACGTGACGTACTCTTTGATTCTGTTTAAAAACAGAGGTAAAGGTGAGTACTCGTGTTTCAGACCAGGTCCGCCTTCATTACAGCTTCATCAACGCTGCAACGCTCAAAAAAGAATATCGGTATAATCATGGTCACCAACCTTTATTTAAGTCTTTAAATCATGAAGGTGTTTGAGATACAGTAAGAGCACAATATTAAAAGAAGAAGAAGAGGATGTTGTCAGTTGGCTGGTCTTGAAGGATTGACTGACTGCAGGGCAGAGGGAGACTCAGGATGGGGGTTCTGTCTCAGACGTAATTCTGGCCGAGCTGATCACGATCCGGATTGTTCCTAGAATTAGACAAACGAGAGGAAGGGATGAGGAAGGAGGGTGAAGGATGAGGAAGGGATGAGGAAGGAGGGTGAATGGATGAGGAAGGGATGAGGAAGGAGGGTGAAGGGATGAGGAAGGGATGAGGAAGGAGGGTGAAGGGATGAGGAAGGAGGGTGAATGGATGAGGAAGGAGGGTGAAGGGATGAGGAAGGTGGGTGAAGGGATGAGGAAGGAGGGTGAATAGATGAGGAAGGAGGGTGAAGGGATGAGGAAGGTGGGTGAAGGGATGAGGAAGGAGGGTGAATAGATGAGGAAGGGATGAGGAAGGAGGGTGAAGGGATGAGGAAGGAGGGTGAATGGATAAGAGGAAGGGATGAGGAAGGTGGGTGAAGGGATGAGGAAGAAGGGTGAAGGGATGAGGAAGGTGGGTGAAGGGATGAGGAAGGTGGGTGAAGGGATGAGGAAGGAGGGTGAAGGGATGAGGAAGGTGGGTGAAGGGATGAGGAAGGAGGGTGAAGGGATGAGGAAGGTGGGTGAAGGGATGAGGAAGGTGGGTGAAGGATGAGAGGAAGGGAGGGTGAAGGGATGAGGAAGGTGGTGAAGGGATGAGGAAGGTGGGTGAAGGGATGAGGAAGGAGGGTGAAGGGATGAGGAAGGGATGAGGAAGGAGGGTGAAGGGATGAGGAAGGAGGGTGAAGGGATGAGGAAGGTGGGTGAAGGGATGAGAGGAAGGAGGGTGAAGGGATGAGAGGAAGGGAGGGTGGGTTAAAGAATCGAGACAAAGAGGGTGGAGTGGGACGGCTGGCCGTGGTCCTGCTTCTGAACCTAAGTTAATGTATTCATTTAATTTGTGTTTACAATATTTAATATTCTTTCAAACAAAAGCCTTTGGATTTTATAATGTGATGCCGATCTGTTTTTGAAAATAAAAATCTTGTTTATTTGTTATTCATCTGATCAGGTCTGCAAAATGAACCAGAGGAGGAGAGCTCTGTTTACTCCAAAGTGAAGATAGGATCACCTGCAGCTACAAAAACATAACATACACAAGTCCAGACTTTATTTTGAATGAACATTTTGGTATATTTGAAATGACTCGAGGTTCTTCATGGGAATGAGCTTTCTTCGAATTGGCTTAGTCATCTCAGGTCGCGACCAATAGAAGTCAACCATCGTCCAACTCTTAAACTTTGATTATTGATATTTATCGCTTCCTAAGAGAGTTTTTTTTTCCTCTGCCTGAGCCAGTTTTATTTTTTTACAGAGGGCATACATTTGAACTGACCTTCCTGTTGTTTCGCTTTTCTTTGGTCTTGCTTGCAAATTTGAGAAGTCTGTTGCGAATAGCTTTGCAACAGATTTCTAACTTTCCCTAATCACAGAAACTGCATTCTATTGCAAACGTCTTTCTTTACATGAAAATATGTCAAATATGTTATATTGCCTGTTTCATGCATATTCTTAACTGTACATGAAAACTACATACACATGCAGATATCAGAGTCGGACATGTTTACTGTGTTAGTTTCAGCTTTCCCATACTGTTGGTGTTCCTACTTAGATTATGATCTAGATCAACATCTGTTCAGTTCAGTCTGAGTTGTTATTGAAGAACGAATCATCTGTTCATTTGTAGAAAAGATGTCTCATGAAACGGTTTCTTCTGAAGTCAAAAGAGGAACACCTACTGGTAAGAATCAAACCATGCACAGAGTGTGTGTGTGTGTGTGTGTGTGTGTGTGTGTGTGTGTGTGTGTGTGTGTTGTGTGTGTGTGTGTGTGTGTGTGTGTGTGTGTGATGGATTTTTGAAACTACAAAATCTATTGAACCTTTTGAATAACTTCTCATCACTTTTCTCTGATTTTCTTCTCGGTCCATGAAGAAAAGTGTGTTGTGTTGTGTTTGAGACGTGCTTTGTTTATACATAGCTTTTATCTGCTGCCTTTTTTTCTTCTTTTTTTTAACATTATTGCTCCTAGTTTTATGTTATGCAACAATAAACTTTTTTTTTCATAACACCAAGCTGTCAATCGTCTTTTTAAATGTTTCTTTGCTCAGTTTCATGTTATTTTCTTAACCTCACCAAATGGCTTAAAACCCTAAAGAAAAAAACTTAACCTGGAATATATTAGAAAACCATTAAAGATGTTATACTATGTACCAATGGTAAACCTGTCCTTAACAGTTACCTTGACAGTATACTGTTTTCTTAATGTTTGCAGGAAGTCAACCCACTTATGAGTTTAAACAGGAAATCATGAACTACTGAGGTAAGATTTCGTTGATAGGAAACTTTCTGAAATGCTCTTCCCATTTTTTTTTTGAAAGTTGTTGGTTTCTATGAATTTCTCTTTTCTTGTGAAAGGTTCGAGGGTCTAAGGGGGTCACAGAGTTTTAGACGGTTAAGCTCTGCGTTGCATCTTTTGTAACTTTGAGGTAAAATAATGGTTAGATGTTTCATTCCCATCAGCAGCTAGGTTGACTTTTTTTAAGCTCCTACTTTTCTTTGAGCTTTGCACTAACTCTGTGACACAGCAGCCACTCTGCCTGTAAACAACAGTATTTATCTCCACTTCATGGATACACCTTTAATCAGGTAAACACAGTGGTGTGTTGGTGTCTAAAGAAGGGGGTATACTCTTGGTAAAATGTTTTTTTTAAAGGTGGCCGGTCCAGCAGAGGATAAACGGTCTCTGTTATAAACAGGTTGAGCAATGTTAGCAACTTTTGGTACGCATACAAACAAAAATAAATCCCCCTCCAAAAGAAAAAAAAAGTAAATGAATCCTCAATATTGGGCACATTTTCTAGCCTACTTATCCAGTTAATGGTTTTCATTGTTTGGTTGTTAAGAAGAAACACACTTTAAAGCTTCCAACTTTAATTAATGTTGCATTCTTGTATTAAACAGAAACCCTAACCCAAACAGAAAAATGAGAGTCTCACAGATTAAGAAAAAAATGATATTTGGGGGTCGTTCTTATTTTTAGTGAGGTGGACATGAGTAAAGGAGCAGGTTGAAAGGCTTGCTTGGCTTTCTGGTTTGGACTTATTTAGATGACCTGACCTACAACAGTGAGGTCTTTGATGGCTTCTTTGTCAGGAGTTTTAATGAAGATGCAGAATGAATAGTGATTGTGAGTGGTGGATTTTGGTCCGTCTGGTGCTGCTTTTGCTGCCCCCTGATTTTCTTCATTGCTCCTACTGGGTCTCTTGTTTGAGGCAGCACTGCCACCGTGTGTCCAAATATAATCCATGAGCACAGTCGACAGCAACAAGCTCATTTCCCTTATGTCCCCTTCTGTTCATCCTTCTTCTGTTGTCCTGCTGTAGTATGAGCTGTACAAGATTTGGAGCAGATGAAGATGTTAACTAACCTGTATGTGACTCTTCTGACCATAAATAATTCTGAAGATGCTGCATTTAAAATAAAGTGCTGTTTGCTCATCACTGATGTGCATTGTAACATAAACTAAGGTCAAACTGTGTGGATAAAGAAGCTAATGCTGTATGTGGACAGCACACAGCGGGTTAAAAGAAAACATTGATATAAAATGTTTAACCCTTATTCCGCTCTGCTAACAATAAAGTATCAGGTCTGGTCAGACTGCATGCTCTACTTCCTGCCTTGTCCTTTTTTTTTTGCGATTCAGCAAAGAAGAGGAAACAGACGTTCCTCCCTGCAGAGATGGCCGCTGATCGCATCCGATATTTGAGATGCTTTTTTACATTCAGTGCTCTGCTGCTGTTTGAGGTCTGCCTGCATGGTATGTACACCTGTCTGTTAGAGACTAGACGGCTTTACTGTAACTGTGAGTGTAAAAACTGAGACAGTTAAGATGCAGTTCTACAATCTAACTTAAAGTGCAGGAAGATCTTAGGTGCAGTCTAAGTAATGTTAGTAAAATGTGTCGGGGTTCTAATTAGAATAACAATAAGTGGTACAGTAGTTAAAACATGCTGAGATAAAACTGTATAACCAATATAACCAGTATAAACAGTCTGATATACATTTAGATACATGGTTAATGCATACACACAAATATAACATGTATGATGAAGTGCAGTTGCAACATTAATAATATACAGAAGAAAACAGCATGATGCATATTTGGTATTCACTAATATCCATCCATCCATCCCTCCATCCATCCATTCTCTCATTACCCCCCCCCCCCTTTGTGTTTGTCCCCTCATTAATCACAGTTCATCCTGAAGGCTGCTCTGTATTGATTAGTTATCCCTCTTTCCTCTTTGCATTCCTCTTCATTCCTGCCAGCTTTCTGCTCCGGCCTTCATTACCGAGCTCCAAGGCCTTTGTAGACTCCCGGCAGAATAATGTATATTAATAAGGAAGCTGTTTGTTTTGAAGTCAATGAAGGTGATGAAGTAGTGGACAAACAAGCTAGAGGTGTTTCAGCTCCTCGGTTCTTCTTTTAGCTTGAAATGGAAATGACCATTCTTCTAACTTACAGGTAAAGACATTGGTTTGCATCCATTCAACATTTATATAGCCCCCCCCCAACAACACCCTTATGACCCACAGTTCACACTGCACCTGAATGCATCTTCGTTAATTGAAAACCAAAAGCTCCGCCAACTTAGAAAACATCTTTATTCACTTTAAACCAGTGCAGTCAAACAAAACATCAACAGAAACAGACAAACATGGAGTAGCACTGCATTACACAAGTCAAGGTCAGTTAAAGGTCGTAACACCTCAGGGACAAACAGCCGTTTCCATAGCAATGAGGCTTCTCTCTGAGCGTCTGTGCAGTCCGACGTGAGTTTTTTTTTATACATGCTCATGTTGTTATCTGACAAGCAGAAGATGAAGATTTTTCTGTGATCCACAGAAGAAAGTAACTGCTGCGTTTTGTTTTGCCTGTTGTGGGGATACAACTGCCACCTGCTGGTGAGGAGGAAGATGTGCAGCAGTAACATATTTTATAGAATTTCAAGCCTGCTCTGCTGTCAAAGGAATGGATTTTTTTTTAACTTAATCTTTTAGCAAATTTACATTTATGGCATCAATTTCCTAATATTCAATGAAGCTTCTTTTCTTCTTTAGATTTAGTGTTAAAATGTGACCTTTATTCTCCACTCAATTTGGGGTTTATCTTTTCGTAACAGACAAGACATTATATTTCTCCAGAGGCCAAAAATATCCAAGCAAAACATCAAATACAACAACAACAAAAACAACATTTTTAAAAAAAGGAGGGGGATATTGAATTATGAATACTGAAGAAAAAAAACAGGAAAATCCTTTCAAAACGTACGTCATAGATTGGTGAAATGTTTCCAGTGTTAGATATCTTCAATGATCGACACAAATGTCCAGTCAGCTCAGCACATGTGAGCGTGTAGCCACTGCGTTTGAGTCAGGTGAAAGAAATGTAATCACACACACTTAGTTTTGTATACGTGTGTGTGTGTGTGTGTGTGTGTGTCGGTCTGACTGTGTAGTGTTTAGGAGTCGTCTCCGTTGGCGCTGTCCCCGTCGTCCTCTCCTTCCTCCTCCTCCTCCTCCTCCTCCTCGTCCTCATCCTGCCCTCTGCTTTTCATCTGAGAAGTCCAAACATCACTCATTAGTCTTTAATCACTCGACACAAACGAGATGTTTGAATATTTGTTTTTGACGTATAAAGAGCAGAAGGGTTTCAGATTACTGCCCACAAGAAAAGAGGATTCTGGGATATTATCTTCTGGCACTTATGGACATAACGGACTCACTCATCAAACTTCTTTTTTAAATTATTTCTGGCTTTTTATGCCCCTATCCTTAGAGACAGGACAGTTTATAGTCAGCAACCGGGTAGAGAGAGAGAGAGAGAGAGTGGGGAATGACATGCAGGAGGGGCTAAAGGTCGGATTCGAACCTGGGCCGCCCGCCTCGAGGACCACTGCCTCTGCACGTGGGGCGCGCACACCAACCGCTTAGGCCACCGGCACACCTCAATCTGCAAATTAATCAAAAGACTGAAAACTACTACAAACAACCAGTTTGGTAAAAAAATCACTGTTATGGGCACTAGTGGCCTAGTGGTTAGTTTGCACTCCCCATGTACAAAGGCTGAAGTCCTCTCTCTCTCTTCCCATTTCCTACTCATAAAGTCATAAAAGCCCCTCCCCCTCAACAAAAAAACCCTGTTATCTGGACTCCTCTCCCGCTCCTCACCTCGTCCTCGTCCTCCTGCTCCTCCTCTTCCTCCTCCTGCTCCCCCTCCTCCTTCTCATCCTCACCCTTCCCCTCCTCTTCCTCCTCATCTTCCTCCTCCTCTTCCTCTTCCTCCTCCGCCTCCTCCCCCTCCTCTTCCTCCTCCTCCTCCTCCTCCTCTCCTCCTCCTCCTCCTCCTCCCCTCTCTTCCTCCGTCTCCTCTTCCTCCTCCTCCTCCTCCTCCTCCCCTCCTCTTCCTCCTCCTCCTCCTCCTCCTCCTCCTCCTCCTCCCCCTCCTCCTCCTCCTCCTCCTCCTCCTCCTCCTCTTCTCCTCCTCCTCCTCTGTCTCCTCCCCCTCCTCTTCCTCCTCCTCTCCTCCTCCTCTTCCTCTTCCCCTCCTGCTCCCCTCACCCTCCTCCTCTTCCTCCTCCTCCCTCTCCTCATCTTCCTCCTCCGCCTCCTCTTTTTCCTCCTCCTCCTCTTCCTCCTCCCCTCCTCTTCCTCTTCATCCTCCTCCTCCGTCTCCTCTTCCTCCTCCTCCTCCTCCTCCTCTTCCTCCTTCCCCTCCTGCTCCCTTCACCCTCCTCCTCTTCCTCTTCCTCCTCCCCTCCTCCCCCCTCCTCTTCCTCATCCTCCCCCTCCTCCTCTCCCCTCTCCCTCCTCTTCCTCCTCCTCCCCCTCCTCCTCCTCTCTCTCCTCCTCTCCTCTTCCTCCTCTTCCTCCTCTTCCTCCTCTTCCTCCTCCTGCCTCTCCTCTTCCTCCTCCCCTCCTCCTCCTCTTCCTCCTCTTCCTCCTCTTCCTCTTCCTGCTCCTCTTCCTCCTCCTCCTCACCCTCCCCCTCCCCTCTTCCTCCTCCCCCTCCTCCTCCTCCCCCCTTCCCTCCTCCTCCTCTTCCTCTACCTCCTCTTCCTCCTCCTCTTCCTCCTCCTCCCCCTCCCCCTCACCCTCCTCCTCCTTCTCCTCCTCCTCCTCCTCTTCCTCCTCACCCTCCTCCTCTTCTTCCTCCTCCTCCCCCTCCTCTTCCATTCATGTATTATCAGGAACTTTGTTTCAAAATGTGCAACCCTCGTCGGACACTGTAGTCGTGACCCTCGAGTCTCTTCCTCTTCATTTCTGCCCCTGTTAGAAAAGTCTTACAGGAAACCCCTAAAATCTGATCTGCATTTGAACCCCCTCACTGATCCTCACCTGACTTCTTGCCGTGGTCCTTCTCCATGCGCTCCAGGCTCTCCAGCAGGTAGTCCACCTTGTGTTTGATCTGCGTCAGCTCTCTCTTTATGGCCTGCAGGTCGTCGCTCTTCACTGCTGTGGTGGGGGGGAAACGCAGGAGAGAGAAGTATTTAGGGGCGAGTAGAGTGAAGCTGTGTGAACGTGACACGAGCCGTGATACTCACCGTTCCTGGACGTCCTCTGGCTGTTCTTTGAGGAGGAGAAGCTGGTTTTGGTCCGTTGGCTGCCCCCTCCGCTTAGACTGACCCGCAGGCGCTTCGAGGGGACGACGGCTCGAGACAGAGGGGGAGGAGGGAGGGGAGGTACCCGGGGCTGATAGGAGTACATCCTGACATACAAATACACATAAGTAAGAACTTCAGAAACACGAGAAAATACAAAAAAAGAGAAAAAGAGAATATTTACCGATCATAGTAATCTCTTTGAAAGTCATACTCCAGATCAATAGATGGACTGAGGAGAGAGCAGAGACAGGGTAGCAACATTAACA